CACTTGTGGACCCTGAGGGGAATGTGCCATGTAGGTCTATAGGACACATGTAGAGTTCAACACTAGACATCTGTGAAGACCAACCTGGGCTTTTGGGGTGTGATGCCTCGATCCTTCCCATAGTCTTGCTTTTGCCTTTTGCATTATGTGGGGCCAGCCCACAACCAAATGTGTCCTAAGAACCGGTGTGCAATTGAAAGGAGAAATAGAGAGACAACAGACAAGGCATGCAAGGGCTTACCTTTCCCGTGGAGTCGTGAACAAGAGAGAGAGAGAGTGATTAATCACCTATAGGTGAGCATAGTCTTGGGGTTAGCAAGCTCCATCAGTTACATACATAGCAAGGTGGGAAGTATCTTAACCCTGCAGGTGCCCAAGCTCATTGGAGGAGTAACCTAATACCAGTACTGGAGACAGGTAGAGGGAAGGACAATGTGTGCTCTCCCAGATAGGTGGCCTCATTGCAACCAGCCATGTGCTTGTAAGTAGTTCCAAAGTTGCACCATTCTGGAAGGAGATTGTGGGGAATGATTTCTAGACAGTAGAATGTGCCTGAGACTCATCCCCAACTCACAAGTGTGGAGGTCTCTGTGTTAGTCCTGGTTGACTAAAGAAACAAATTCATAGACATTCATATGTGCATAAGAAAGAGCTTTATCTAAAAGAACAATTATATATTGAGAAAACATCCCAGTCCAGTCCAGATCAAGTCCAAAAGTCCAATATTAGCCCGATACTAGTCCAGAGAGTGCTTTTTAGACTCGTGCAGCACATGCAATGATGCTGAACAAAGGAAGATCACAGGCCAGTGTGTAGAAAGTCTTGTGGAGCCAGTGGCAGTAGAAGCATCTCAATGTTGGCACAGGTCTCCACCTGTCTCCTCCAGCTCTTGGAGTGTTTCAACAGCAGGAAAGGGAAGGCAGAGAGAGTGTCCCACTTCCGGGGGGGTGGGGATGGGGGAGAAGTTCCCAGAATCCGCAGGAGAAGGCCATCCCCACACAGAGGCATGATTGGCTATGACCTGATTGATAGGCTAGACTCCACCCCTTTGCTCAAGTTGACAGGAGATTATGTAACTACCACAGCCTTCTTCCACCAGAATCCTAGCCTTCCAGGCTCTTTAAATATGAGCAGAGAGAATCTGATCACATACATTCTCTTCCTGGTTCTCAGTTCCCCACAGCATAAATACAAAGAAACACAGTCTTAGAACAAGCTACCTGAAAGAACCCAGAGTCAGAATGTATGACCAATAAAATGTGTTAGTCATTTCTCCTGGGCTGCTTTCTGCTTGTTAACCCCTGCTTTAAGCAACATGGTGGGCAGGGGAGAATGTGTAATAAAAATATAGAGAATTTGGAATTGGTTTGAGTTCCATGGAACCTGAGCTTGGACCCCATAGAACCTTGGCTTTGATGAATATTTCCTCTTTGCCCTTGGTAACTCAGGTAAACCTCACCTGGGCCTCAGATTGCTCATTTATAGAAGGAATCAAGACCAAGCCAAACCACTGCCATCAAGTGCATTCCAACTAATAGTAAGTAGCCCTTTAAGGCAGTGTGGAACTGCTACTTAGATTTCCAAGGTAATAAGTCTATTGGAGCAGAAAGCCTCATCTTTCTACTTTAAAGCAGCAGGCCGGTTTTGAATCGATGACCTTGTATGTGAATTTATTCCTTAAACTTACATTTCTCCATCTGCAAGATGCTTTCAAAAATGGCTATCTTGCCGGGTTACGGTGGTTGTTTTTAGGTGCCATCGAGTCATTCTGACCCAGAGTT